TTTTGCCACTGCTGACACTGAGGCTCTCACCCACGTGAAGTCGGAGCTGCAGAAGAGACACACGTGCACAGACTTGGGTGAGCTGCGCAGCTACCTTGGCTTGCAGATCACCCGAGACAGAGCACGTCGCACCATCACCTTGACTCAGTCACACATGGTGCAGCAGGTCCTTCAGCGCTTCGGCTTCACCTGGTCTTCAGCACAGGCCACTCCTCTGGCTACAGGTCACACGCTCTCAGCTCCACCTTCGGACGAGTCCGTAGAGCCGAGTGGTCCTTACCCAGAGCTAGTCGGCTGCCTCATGTACCTGATGACTTGCACTCGACCTGACCTCGCGTACCCTCTTGGTCTCCTGGCTCGCTACGTGGCTCCTGGTCGGCACCGACCTGAGCACATGGCTGCTGCTAAGAGGGTACTGCGTTACTTGTGCAGCACATCAGGCATGGGGCTAGTGCTTGGAGGGACGAGCCCAGTTGTCCTCACTGGGCACTCAGACGCTTCTTGGGTTGACGACCTGGCTACTCAGCGGTCGTCACAGGGTTACACCTTCAGCCTTGGCTCTGGTTCAGTTTCGTGGCGTTCTACACGCTCGTCTTCAGTTCTCGGCTCCAGTTGTGAGGCTGAGATCTACGCCACCGCCATGGCTGCACATGAGTTACGCTGGCTCACCTACCTGCTGACTGACTTGGGAGAGCAGCCTCGTTCTCCTCCAGTGCTGTACGTTGACAACAAGGCCGCCATTGCCTTGTGTGAGGAGCACAGACTGGAGCACAGAACGAAGCACATTGCTCTGCGGTACTTCCTGGCTCGAGAGTTGCAGCAGCGAGGCCAGCTTCGTCTTCGCCACGTGGCCACTCGGGCCAACACTGCTGATATATTCACCAAGGCACTTCCGTCTGGTGATCATTGTCAGAATCCCAGCCACTAACCACTGGGATAAAAGGGCTTGTTTATATAGCGGGTGAGTGCGCCCATAACCCCCCAGGCCGACGTGCCTGTAACCCTTCCCTAGGATCATCGGGGATCCCCAGTGGACCTCTGACACCCCCCCGCACTGGGATGCCCGAAGTGCACACACCGGGAATCGAACCCGAGACCTTCGCTCTGATACCATGTCAGAATCCCAGCCACTAACCACTGGGATAAAAGGGCTTGTTTATATAGCGGGTGAGTGCGCCCATAACCCCCCAGGCCGACGTGCCTGTAACCCTTCCCTAGGATCATCGGGGATCCCCAGTGGACCTCTGACAATCATCAGCGCTTTTGTACTCTGTTAGGCCTTGTGCCTACGTTTCCACACTTGCTGTAGTCTCTGCTTGTACTGTGATCTGTACATATATATATATATATATATATATATATGCATGCTGGCTCTTGCTAGGTAGCCATCACTGTACTGTTATTGCTGCATATATATCTCTGCATGTGAACTGGCCCTGTGGCCCTTTGCTTGTGCTCGGAATGCGTGGTGACGTTGTGATCCACCCTGAGCTTGTTTTGCTTCTCTTGACTGGTCGTGTGACCTCTTGTTCTCCCCCACTTTGCCTATGGGGGTGTGTCAAACTATATGTGCTGCATATTGTCTAGGCTGTAGTGGGGTAGCCCATATGGGGTACAACCCAATTAGGGTTTACTACTTGTACTCCTGCATCCTGTTAGTTCAGTCATTCCTGCTGCTAGATTCTAACATATTCCGATCTTTTCGGTGGTTTGAAAAACGACTTCCGTCCCACACTGTGCCGCTCCTGCCGAAAACGCCAACGACGCACCCTCCTGCAGCCACACCGGCCACACCCGGGCGGGACGACGGTAGACCCCCGCTTTCTTCGGGCAGTCGTCACGCCGTCTCTCCTCGCCGTTGCGTTTTCCGACGCAAAACACCATGCGCCTGGCCTGCCCGGCCAGCTGTCGTTTCTGCCGTGAAGTCACCCGAAATCTTCGCGCACAGTGACGACGTTCACCACGTGCCGAAGACCTCCGAGAATTTCGTGCGCAGCATGACGAAAACGCCCGACGCCACGTGCCGCACGCATTAATTCCGAGATTGTCGCGCGCAGTTGGCAACCCACGTGCCGACGCCCACTCGCACAACAGTGACGACCTTGCTGCTTCCGAGAATCTCGCACATGCAATGACTGTGAAAAGAACTAGGCAAGAATGGTGCATTGAAAGAAACAGTTGGGTACAAGTAGCTAACCCTAGTTGGGTTTGTACCCTGTATTGGCTACCCCACTACAGCCTACCTACATATAAATAACACATTACAACTTAACACACCCCCATAGGCAAAGTGGGGGAGAGCAAAGGGTCACAAGACCAGTCCAGCAAAGCAAAAACAAGCCCAGGGTGGATCACAACGTCACCACACTCCGAGCACAAACAAAGGCCACAAGGCCAGTTCACATGTAGTGCTAGATATAGAACAGGACAAGCAGCAAGACAAATATAAAGTACAGTACAAAGAATGTCAAGCAGTCAGCAAGTGAGGAAACGTGGACACAAGGCCTAAAGAAGTACAGTGCCGCTGATGATCACTAGGCGGGAGCGCCTTGGTGAAGATATCAGCAGTGTTGGCCTTCGAGTCCACGTACACAAGCCGAAGCTGACCGCGCTGCTGAAGCTCTCGAGCAAGAAAATAGCGAAGAGCAATGTGCTTCGTCCTGTGCTCCAGTCTGTGCTCCTGACACAAGGCAAGAGCCGCCTTGTTGTCACCGTACAGAACTGGAGGAGAACTAGGCCGCTCTCCCAAGTCAGTCAGCAGGTAGGTGAGCCAGCGTAACTCCTGTGCAGCCATGGCTGTGGCGTAGATCTCAGCCTCACAACTAGAGCCGAGAACAGAAGAAGAGCGGGTGGACCGCCACGAGACAGAACCAGAGCCAAGGCCGAAGGTGTAACCCTGTGACGACCGCTGCGTAGCCAGGTCGTCCACCCAAGAAGCGTCCGAGTGACCAGTGAGGACAACTCTGTCGCGTCCTCCAAGCACCAGCCCCATGCCTGATGTACTGCACAAGTAACGCAGCACCCTCTTAGCAGCCTCCCAGTGCTCTCGCCTGTGTCTCCCAGGCGCAACGTAACGAGCAAGGATGCTAAGTGGGTACGCGAGGTCAGGTCGCGTGCAAGTCATCAGGTACATGAGGCAGCCTACAAGCTCTGGGTACAGGCCACTCGGCTCTACGGACTCGTCCGAAGGTGGAGCTGAGAGCGAGTGGCTGGTAGCCAGAGGTGTGGCCTGTGGTGAGGAGAACTGGAAGCCGAAGCGCTGAAGGACCTGCTGCACCATGTGTGACTGAGTCAGGGTGATGGTGCGGCGAGCTCTGTCCCGGGTGATCTGCAAGCCAAGGTAGCTGCGCAGTTCACCCAGGTCAGTGCAGGTGTGTCTCTTCTGCAGCTCCGACTTCACACGAGCGAGTGCCTCAGTGTCAGCAGTAGCAAAGACCAAGTCGTCGACGTACACGAGGATGTAGAACGGCGGCAGCGACGTGTCTGTGCGCAGAAACAGCGACGGGTCAGCAGTAGACGGCGCGAACCCAAGAGCCGCAAGTGTAGTCCTCAGTGTGTCGTGCCACTCACGTGGCGCCTGGCGGAGACCGTAGACTGGCCGGCGGAGGCTCCACTGGGTACCAGGAGGAAACGACCCAGTAAAGCCAGGTGGGCGGCGCAGCCAGATCTCCTCGTGCAGGCTGCCCTGCAGGAACGCTGTGCTGAAGTCAAGAGAGTGAAGCTCGTAGTCACGCTGAGCAGCAACGTGCAGCAGAACCCGAAGAGTGGTCATCTTCGGGGTGGGGGAGAAGGTCTGGAAGAAGTCGACCCCCTGACGCTGACTGAAGCCTCTAGCAACGTAACGAGCCTTGAAGACAGGGGGAGAACCTGGCGGCCGCTTCACCCTGAAAATCCACATGCCATCGACGATGTTCGCCCCAGGAGGGGGAACCTCGTCGACGTAGGTGCCTGTGGACTTCCAGGATGCCATCTCTGCGTCCATGGCTGTCTGCCACTGAGAGGAGTAGGGACCCGAGATCGCCTCTGCGTAAGTGCGCGGAGTAGGGATGTCTAGTGCATCCGGGTCTCCCTCAGGGGCAAGCAACCAGGCCACGAGATGAGGTACAGCAGCCGCGAGAGAGTCAAAGTCCTCCTGCCTGTCCTCAAGGACGTCCGTGCCAAGAGCACACTCACCCCCGACGGACGGAGGACAGACAGACTCAGACCCAGCAACAAGACTGGCGGCGTAGTCGAGGCGACAGGCAGCAGCAAAGTCGACAAGCTCAGCGACCAGGGCAGACGCAGCAGAAGACTCAAACGACGGGTCAGTGACAACAGTGGCGAGAAGACGCGTGACAGTAGGGTGGGCAGCACGAACACTGTCAGACTCAGGGTCGGGAACGTCAGGAAGAGAAGACGCAGGAGGAGACGGTAGGGGGACACGCTGTGGACCAGTGGAAGGACGAAGTGCCATAATGTGCGTGCCAGGAACAGGAGGAGGACGCGGACGCGCGACACGACGGCTAGTGGGACCAGTGCGAGCAGTGCGAGCAGCGCGAACAGGCGAGGCAGGACGAGACGCAGGCTCACGACGCTCCGTAAGCGAGTCCGGCTGTGCAGTATAAGGCACAGGAGCAGGGAGGGGGGAGCCAGGCTGAAGGGGAAGGCCAGTGGAAGACGGGAGGGAAAGAACCTGGCGAAGCACCGTGTCAGGCGGCGGCAAAGCCGACGGCGACGGAGGAGCGAAGAACAGGCGCGACGGCGGAGCCTCGCCAGCACCTCCAGCACCCGAAGCACCAGAAGCACCTGGACCAGCACCCTCCGCCGCAGCACCCCCCGAGTCGGCGACGTCAGCACCAGAGGCCCCAGCAGCGTCAGACCTCCCCTCGCCAGCACCTCCAGAACCAGCAGGACCACCGTGTCCAGAACCGTCAGCTCCAGCGTCGTCAGCTCCAGCAGCTCCAGTACCGCCAGGAAGAGCACCCCCAGGCTCCGTAGGCTCAGCAGCAGCACCCCCAGGCTCAGTACCCTCAGGCGCAGTACCCCCAGGCTCAGCACCCCCAGACTCCGTACACGCAGGCTCAGCACCCCCAGTCGTAGCACCCCCAGGCTCAGCACCCCCAGGCGCCGAACTCCCAGGCACAGTACCCTCAGCTCCAGCACCCGCAGTCCCAGCACTCCCAGGCCCAGCACCCGCAGGCTCAGCACCCCCAGGCTCAGCACTCCCAGCAGCACCACCTGCAGCAGCACCTGAGTCACCTGTGACCTCGACAGGCTCAGCGACGGGAGGAGGGTCTACCTGAGAGACACCTGAAGGAGCAGGACCCTGAGGGGGAAGGGGGTCTACCGGAGGGGGACCAGGAGCAAGGAAAAGCGGCGGGGGAGGGAGGGGGGCAGTGCGGTAGGGGAAGAGACGGTAAAAAGGGACCGACTCGTCAAAGGTGACGTCCTGAGAGGCGAAGACCCGGCGCGAGGTGGGGTGGTAAAACTGCCAGCCCGGCGCGTCAGGGACAAAGCCAAGGAAGACACAGGGAAGTGTGCGGGAGGAGAGCTTGTCCGCGGACGTATCGCGGACAAGGGCACGAGCACCCCACACCCGGAAGCGCGACGCATCGCCAACCTCCCCCGTCCAACGCAGTGTGGGCGAGGTCTCCGGCAAGGAGACACGGGGCCAGAGGTTGAGCTGATGCGCGGCGTACCGGACAGCAAACGGCCACAGAAAATGGGGAGCCGCCGCGTGGACCAAGGAGGTACGAGCGACCTCCATGACCAGGCCAATGCGGCGCTCAGCAACCCCATTCTGCTGTGGGGAGTCCGGAAGCGTGAAGGTCTGCTCGATGCCCTCCGCCTGACAGAAGGTCCTCAAGAGATCGGAGGAAAACTCACCACCTCTGTCAGAGTGCAGACGCAGGACAGGAAGATCCGTCCGGAAACGGCGGCGGAGCTGGAGACGAACTGTGCGGATCCAAGGGATCAGAACAGCAGGGACCTCACCCTTGGTGCGCAAGGGGAAGACCGTGGTGTAACGCGAGTAGTCGTCGACAACCAGCAAAAAGTACCGCTCACCGCCCTGACCACGAACGCGGGCTGGGCCCCACACGTCCAGGTGGAGGGTCTGCAGAGGAGCCTCTGTCGGGGGGAACGAGGAGGAGTGAGGAGCGGCGCGCTGCCGCCCCTCGACGCAAGGAAGGCAAGGCGGCGCAGGCGAGGCAGGGAGGGGAGGGAGGGACCTGGGAAGACCAGACACAAGGCGGCGACGGTGCATGCCACGGAGGCGTGGCAAGGAGGGGTGACCCAGGCGGTGGTGCCAGAGAAGAGTCTGGTGCGACAGGGAACGACACTCACAGGCGTGGGCCACTAGACCTGACGCGGACACCTGACCGACAGCAGCGACCTGAGGAGACGCAGTGGTCAGTGTGTAGAGACTCGACCCCGGCCGACGGGTAAACGTAGCCAGGTGACGGCCGGTCCTGGAGCACGTGCAGATCGCCACACGCTGTCCTCCAGGGGTAAAGGTGTCAACCCACTGATCCTGGATGACAGCGTTGCTCACCAGGTTCGTCGAGAACGAGGGGAGGTGGAAACCCGAAAACGAGCCAGACGGAACCGCCGGACAAGGGAGCACAGTGGTGGACTGGGCAAGGACTGGGCCCCCAGAGGGGTCAGCCAAGGAGACTGGGACCGGTGCAGGAAGCGGTGTGAGCTCAGTACTGTCACGAAAGAAACAGCGGGAAGCACCTGAGTCAAGGGTGAAGGTGTAACAGGCCTCAGCCGGTGCGGTACCTGAGAGAGCAGTCTCTGTGGGTGCTGTACCTGAGAGAGCAGACTCGCAAACAGCCGGGACAGCACTGGAGGGAGCAAGTACAGGGGGCACCATACCGGAGAGAGCAGACTCACTAGTACCCAGGGCAGCGGGCTCTATACCTGGGTCAGGCGGCACACACAAGTAACAGTCTCCCTCGGCACTAACAGTCAATGCATACATGGCAGCAATAATAGCATCATAGTCAAGAGCAAAGATATCAACACCAGCCCTCATGAGCTCAGCCCAGCGGGGGCGCTCAACATCCTCGCCCATCTCCTCACGCCAAGCGTCGTCAAGGCGGGAGAAGCAGCGGTACGGGGTGTGGAACCTCCCACACGTCTGTCCCTTGCGGTCACCTGTGCGAATGACATAGGAACAGCGGCCACTGCCCCCCGACGTCCCACGCTGAGCAAGCCACTCACGAAGTTGCTGGGTCGTCTGGGGACGCTGCTGCTGCTGGGAGCTCTGGCCCGAGCCAGTGCCTCCACTCCGACCTCCGCCGCCACCACTACCACCGCTCCGACCGCCACCGCCACCACCGCCACCGCCGCCACCGCCGCCACCGCCGCCGCCGCCACTACTGCCACTGCTTCCTCCGCCGCCCCCGCCTCCACCGCCGACCCCACTCCCACCAGCGCTCCCGCCACCGCTCCCTCCAGCACCGCCTCCCCCCCCACCTCCCCCACCTCCTCCCCCCCCAGCGCCACCCCCGCCACCCTTGCCCCCCTTGCCCTTGCCGGTGCGGCGCCTCCCACCAGGAGCAGAAGCAGCGCCAGCAGACTCAGCACCAAGGAAGTCAACAGCAGCAGCAGCAGCGTAGGAGGGAGCGAGGGGAGAGGGAGAACACCCCTCAAAGATGGGGGTGCGAGGAGCGCCACGAGCAGCACCGACAGCTACAATGCTCTTTTCGGCCGCTAGCAGCTGCTCCTCTAGGAGGGCGACTGTGAGCTCAGTGGGACAGCGAGCAAGGAAGTGGTCTCGAACTGAGCTGAGGGTGTCAGGGAGACGGGTGACTATGAAGTGGAGTGTCCAGTACAGTGGAGGGGGATTCTTAGCGCAGAACTCGGTGGGAAGGGCGGCACGCAGGCGAGCATCACTAGTGCGAAGGTGGGTGATAAGATCGGCGACTGTAGCAAAGGTGGACAGCTCAGGGAACAGGTACGGCAGCATGAGGCGGCTAAGCTCGGCTGTGGCAGGCGAGGAGTAGCGAGCAACGACAGCATCGTACAGGGCCTTAGCGGATTTGCAGTCGCCAAAATGCTCGAGCTCAGCTAGCGGCAGGTGACTGCGAATGGCTAGGCGAGCAGCTGCGTCACGAGTCTGCCAGTGGGAACGAACACTAAGCTCAGCTGTGGCAGGAGGGGCAGGTGCAGCACCAGACGCGTAATCATAGAGCGACACATGCTCCTTGCTATCGCTCAGAAGGAACAGCTGCAGGTCATCCAGCCAAGTGGCGAACTTCACAGGGCGGCCCTCAGCATCGAACGACAGCACGCGGATGGAAGCCATAGCGACAGTGCGACTGAGCAAAGGAAGCTGCCGCAGCGCTGCAGGTAGGTAGCTCGGCGGGAAGCGCGGCGGGCGGGCGACGCGGCGAGCGGGCAGTGCGGGGGGCGGGCTACGAAGCGGGCAGCGCGGTGGGCAGGCGGCGCTGCAGGCGGGAAGTGCGGCGGGCGGGCTGCGAAGCGGGCAGCGGGGCGGGCGGGCGACGCGGCGAGCGGGCAGCGCGGCGGGCGGGCTGCGAAGCGGGCAGCGGGCGGGCGGGCGACGCTGCAAGCGGGCAGCGGGCGGGCGACGCTGCGAGCGGGCAGCGCGGCGGGCGGGCTGCGAAGCGGGCAGCGGGCGGGCGGGCGACGCTGTAAGCAGGCAGCGGGCGGGCGACGCTGCGAGCGGGCAGCGCGGCGGGCGGGCTGCGAAGCGGGCAGCGGGCGGGCGGGCGACGCTGCAAGCGGGCAGCGAGGCGGGCGGGCGACGCTGCGAGCGGGCAGCGCGGCGGGCGGGCGACGCTGCGAAGCGGGCAGCGGGCGGGCGGGCGACGCTGCAAGCGGGCAGCGGGCGGGCGGGCGACGCTGCGAGCGGGCAGCGCGGCGGGCGGGCTGCGAAACGGGCAGCGCGGTAGGCGGGCGACGCTGCGAGCGGGCGGCTCGGCGGGCGGGCGACGCTGCGAGGGGCGCGCGAGGGCGCTAACGAGAGGCGCACGAGGGCGCTAACAAGGGCGCGCGAGGGCGCTAGCGAGGGCGCGCGAGGGCGCTAACGAGAGGCGCGCGAGGGCGCTAACGAGGGCGCGCGAGGGCGCTAACGAGGGCGCGCGAGGGCGCTAACGAGGGCGCACGAGGGCGCTAACGAGGGCGCACGAGGGCGCTACGAGGCTAGGGCACGGGGTAGCGTGGTAACCGCATGCGAGCGGTGGTGGGCCCTTAAAAAAAAACGGTCGGTAGGTCCTAGGGACCTCCTGCTCTGAATACCATGTGAAAAGAACTAGGCAAGAATGGTGCATTGAAAGAAACAGTTGGGTACAAGTAGCTAACCCTAGTTGGGTTTGTACCCTGTATTGGCTACCCCACTACAGCCTACCTACATATAAATAACACATTACAACTTAACAATGACGCCACATTGCCTGACGCCAACTGCCGCATGAAAACAGTGACGAGATTAACGGAACCGACGAAAATAACAAAAAGCATTTAATGTGCGACAGCCATAGCTGCCCACCACCTGGGGGAGGGAGGCCACGATCAATCCCGACCGTCGAGGGTGAGGATCCGTCGGTGCCGCAGGAGCGCCAGAGAAATTCATGGCCGCTAGGAGCAACTACCCGTTCTCCTGGCCGGCTACTGCGCTACTCCTGTCACCACGGCATCCTTCCCTGTCCCCCCCCCCGAGGGGTAATACACTCTAAAAAACGGGGAACTTAGGAGCTTAGGCTCTGATACCAAGTGTTATGAGTTGTACTAAGAAGAGTGCGCGGAAGACTTTATAAAAAGGATGATGAATACAGAATGACGAGAATGATAATGAGGCGAGCATTTATAGGGTCGAAAACGTGCTAGGCGAGAACCTGTGATGTGCATGGCTCGGGAATGTCGCAATTGGTGCGGGGTGTTAGAATAGTAGCCTTAGGGTTTGGGGTAGCGTGAGCGAGAGAAACAGGAAGGAGGGGTTCACTACAGCAAGGTTACAAGATATAGCAAAGAAAGGTGAGCACATTGGTGCACCACCACTGTAGCTACACTAGAACACACAGCAAGCAGGGTATATAACAAAACTTAACACACCCCCTTAACCTGCTTGCCGTGATAACTAGTACAGGTACACGTGGCGCAGCGGAAGAGGGTAGAGAGGTTAGGAAGGAGGAGGAGGTGAGAGGAGAGGAGAGGAGAGGAGAGGAGAGGAGAGGAGAGGAGAGGAGGTGGGGGGCCAGGACCGGCGGACCCGCTTACGAACCTCCTTTTACAAAGGGGAGGTGAGAGAGGGAAGGGAGAGGAGGTGGGCTAGGCGGGCTTGAGCGCGAAAGCTCATAGCGATCCCCCCCCGTTAAGAACCCCCAAGTCCCGATGAGGAGAGGAGGTGGGCTAGGTGGGCATGAGCGCGCAAGCTCATAGCGATCCCCCCCCGTTAATAACCCCCAAGTCCTCACCCCCCTGTCAGTCAACCCTTTTAACCTCACACCCTCAGCACCTGTCTACTTCCGCCACCCCCTCACCCTCCTCCCCTTCTTCCCCCCCCCCCCACCCCCTCTCCATGGCAGAAGCCGCGGAAGGGAAGGGGGGGGGCGGCGTAAGGAGCTGCTGGCGGCTCACACCCGCCACCCCCACATCTCCCCCTCCCCCCCACCCCCCCACGACGGAAGCCGTGAAATGGAGGGGGGGGGGGGGGGGAGCTGCCGCCGGCGCTTGCGCTGGCGCTGGCGTTGGCGCACGTGTCGGCGCTGGCGCTGGCGCTGGTGCCTGCTGTCCGTGCTGGCGCTGGCGTTGGCGTCCGCGACGGCGCCTGGCGCTGACGTTCGCGCTGGCGCCTGAGCGTGCGTGGCCAGCGGCGAGGCGACCGGGCCGCGGGCGACGGGGTCGTGCGCGGGGCGGGGCGAGCGACGGCGCGTCGGGCAGGGCGCAATGAGCAGGGCACTACGAGCGCGACGAGCAAGGCGTAATGGGAGCGAACGGGAAGACAAAACGGGCACGGAGCGACGGATCTCGCCATTGCGCAGCTCGCCACCGTGTCGATCAGCAGCGACTCGAGGCGCCGCCATAACGAGCATAAAACTAGGCCTAGGAACGGCCTGCTCTGATTACCATGTTAGAATAGTAGCCTTAGGGTTTGGGGTAGCGTGAGCGAGAGAAACAGGAAGGAGGGGTTCACTACAGCAAGGTTACAAGATATAGCAAAGAAAGGTGAGCACATTGGTGCACCACCACTGTAGCTACACTAGAACACACAGCAAGCAGGGTATATAACAAAACTTAACACGGGGCGACTCGGGGCTGGTTCGGTACGAAAGTGTAGGCCGAGCCCAAACTGACGCGAACAGTTCGGGCTGTCCTCGCTAGGAGCAGCCTCTACAGTAATGAATTCATATTCATTACATTATGCGAATGTTGTAACAATTAACAGGAAAATGCACTCAAAACATTGCTCTAAAGCTTTGTAAACAGATGCACACATTTGTTTTCCCTTCTTACAATGCAATGTGCATTTCTGGCTATTTTAATGATAACTCTGATGATGTTGATATAAATGATTTTTTCTAAAAGGTTGATACATTAACCTATTTAATGAAACACCAATAGTTATGTCGAGATCAATAATCCAGTACCGTGCTTAAACGATTCTTAGCTCCGCAACCCTTAGACGATTTCGTCGACTCTTGTTTTATTAGCACACAAACTCGTCCCCTGCCCCCTCCTCCTGTCCCATCCCCCCTTTCACTTTTTTTGGACAAATCCCACACAACACCCCAAGGTGTTTTGCACGGGGAGTACTACAGTATTACGGCCTATTCTACTGTTTTCGGCAGTCAGTCTATACGCCACCTATTATTTGGTCAATAATTTATGGCCTCCTTTTCCTTCCCGTCAGTCATGCCTGATCCGTGCTTGAGCTTGTGCTCATGCTTCTGAACTTTGAAACTTCCGGTGGCCGCGGCATGTCCGTTGAATTCGCAGCTGCCCGTGCCTCCGCCTCCGCATATTCCGGATACTTCCTGCCGCAGCAGCAGATGCGCAGCTTGCGGGACCACACCCACCCTTCTCCCCCGCACCCACTCCCCCCCTCCCCCCCCACCCCCCCAATCCTTCCTGCCAGTCTACTGTCTATGTCTTATCCGTACTTGAGCTTGTGCTCATGCTTCTAAACTTCGACACTTCAGGCGGCCGCGGCATGTCCGTTGAATTCGCCGCAGCCCTCGCCTCTGCCTCCGCATATTCCGGATACTTTCTCCCGCAGCAGCAGATGCGCAGCTTGCGGGACCCCCGCTGCGTTTGCCGGTAGATAATGAAGAAGGGCGTGGAGATGATGAGCAAGGCGGCTACGACCAGGACGATGAAGGTGAGGATGCCCCACGGCCCGATGCTCTTGTCGCTGCAGTTGGTCTTGGAGACGTCCTTCCACAGGCACGTGTAGTCGTAGCCGCCAGAGGGAGGGGGCGGTGGGGGGGCGGCGGCTGGGGGAGGGGAAGGTGTGGAGAGGTACAGAGAGGTGTAGAGAGGTGATAATTAGACACGTCATGCCCCACGGCCCGATGCTCTTGTCGCTGCAGTTGGTCTTGGAAACGTCCTTCCACAGACGAGTGTAGTCATAGCCGCCAGAGGGAGGTGGTGGTGGGGGGGCCGCGGCTGGGGAATAGGGAAAGGGGCAACAGTTGTGAGTTGAGAAGGGGGAAAGGGGAAGGTGAGGATGCCCCACGGCCCGATGCTCTTGTCGCTGCAGTTGGTCTTCGACACGTCCTTCCACAGACACGTGTAGTCGTAACCGCCAGAGGGAGGGGAGGGAGGCGGTGGAGGGGGGACCACGGCTGCGCATGGGGGTAGCGGATGGGAGAGAAGGGGGAAGGTCAGAATGCACCACGGCCCGATGCTTTTGTCGCTGCAGTCCGTTTTGGAAACGCCCTTCCATAGACGGGTATAGTCGTAGCCCTCCTTGGGAGGCGGTTGGGTGGGGGGAGGCGCAGCTGTGTGGGGAAGGTGTGGAGAGGTATAGAGGGGTGTGGAGAGGTGAGGATTAGAGACGTCCTTCCATGGACAGGTGTAGTCGTAGCCCCTATTGGGAGAAGGCGGAGGGGGGGCTGCAGCTGTGTGTGGGGAAGGGGGGAGGGAAGGGGGAACGGGGAAAGGGAAAGGGGGAAGGGAGAAAGGGGAAGTGGGAAGGGAGAAAGGGGAAGGAAGGGAGACGGGGGAAGGGGGTAGGGAGAAGGGGAAGGAAGGGAGACGGGGAAGGGGGTAGGGAGAAGGGGGAAGGAAGAAAGGGGAAGTGGGAAGGGGGAAGGGGGGAAGTGGGAAAGTGGGAAGGGGGAAGTGGGAAGGGAGATTGGGAAGTGAGAAGGGGGAAGGGGGGAGGGAGAAGGAAGAAGCAGAAAGGGAGAACGGGGAAGGGAGAAGGGGAAGGGGAAGGGGCAACAGGAGGTGGAGGAAAAGGGTGTAAAAAGGTGAAGATTGGGTATTTTTTATGCCTCGTTGCTCACATGCAGCACGTTTGAATGCCAAGGCTGGCCCCAAACCCCCCACAACCGCCCGCCTCTCAACATTACCCCCCTTAGGGGGATGGGATCAGGTGTAGGGGGATAAGCTCAGGGGCTGGAGAAAGGATGAGCTCAGGGGGGAGGGGAGTGGGAAGTGACGTCATGGGGAGGAGAATGACATGAGAAACGGGTGGGGAGAGGGGGCCGCCTGCCCCCGCCTGCCGTCCGTCTGTCGCTCGTCTGTAGCTCGACTGTCGCTCGCCTGTCGCTCAAACATCGTCAACCTATTGCTCGCCCGTCACTCACCTGTCGTCCGCCTGTCACTCGTCTGTAGCTCGACTGTCGCTCGCCTGTCGCTCGCATGTCGCCCACCTGCCACCCGCCAGTCCTAGCCCATACCGTCACCCGCCGCTCCCAGTATACCTGCAGTCATTTACGCCTACATTGCCTGTTCAAAGATCTTCCCTTCAGGCCGATACCTCTCCTCCGAGTTGACTTCTGAGTCGACCCAAAAGTCAACTTGCTCCTCGTACACCTGCGGCCATTTACGCCTACATTGCATTGCGGCCGTTCAGAGATCTTCCCTTCAGGCCGATACCTCTCCTCCGCCTCTCGCTCATCGCCGGTGCATCCCCATTTCCGCCACCCGCGGCGTTATGTACACCTGGGGCCTATTTTTGCCTTCCTATTGCCCGCTTGTCGCTCGCCTATCGGTCGCCGGTCGCTCGCCTAACGCTCGCATGTCGCTCGCCTAACGCTCGACTATCACTCGCCTGTTGCTCGCCTGAATTACGACTGCCGCCCACTTGTCGCTCGCCTGTCGCCCGCCTGTCGCTCGCCTTAGGTTCGCCTGTACGCTCGCCCGTCGCCCGCCCCATCGCTCACCTGGCGGCGCATTGTCGAGGGAGCGAGCGGAAGCGAGAGGGGAGACGGCGAGCAGAACAAGGTAGACGAGAGCGAGGGAGTGAAGAGCGCCAACGGCCAGCGCCGGCGGTGCGCGGAGCGATCGTCTCCTAGAGGCGAGGGCGCTTCGAGAGCGAATCGTGGCGGCGACAGCTAACTGGGAAGAGCGGAAGGCGATGGCGGAGTTGTTGCGGTGGCGACGACAAGGAGCCATTTCTGCGTCTCCACTCCGTTGCGGACGCGGTCGACTCATCAGAAACAAAAATGCAAACCGTCAAAAACTGGGCAATGGCGACTTGAGCGTAATTTTCGCGCAAACGAGCGCTTCGTAGTTGGTTGTTTACGAGGAGGCATGGGGAACCGGGCGTGGAAGTGGGTGTGAAATGGCGCTAGTGGCGCGAGAAGTGGTTGGGACTTCGTGGTTTTGTCGTGGGACCCAGTCACCTAGGTTGTCTGGGAGAAACTTTCAGGTTCCAGGTGCGGTTCGATTCTGGCAGAAACTGGCAAATCTGTGTTGTCTCAGGTGTAATTCTGATCGGAAGCAGTACGGAAGCCAGTTAACAACGCGGATGTCCGCGATAAATGACAGACGGGTTTGAGGGGTTGGGCGGGGAATTTGTCGGAAAATGAAATGGGTTGTTTGGGCTGGCATGGGGATGAACCAACGCGGGGTGGCGAAATCAAAACGTGCACCGACGGGAAACCCGGATTCTCGCTCAGATCGCCCAGTTTCGTCATCGTGCTTGGAGACTTGGTTCACCGAGAGCGACCAGCGATCAAGTCCCGAGAACGACCAGTCCTGAGCGAACAAATTAGTACTAGCCCAGGCCTTGTCAAGTAATGTCCTGTCCAGCGCGAGATCTAGTCAGCTGTGCCCAGCTTGGGCTCCCCGAAGCAGACCCCGTGAAGCCAAGGAAGCTCTAGCCTGTTGCTTCTTCAGGTTTTTGGTCAAGGGAGAAATTGAAAGTAGGAAAAGATCAGCCATTGTACCGAGCTTCGACAAGGCCTAAGGTTTTCCACTGAGATCGGTGGCTTCTCCTGCAACGCAAGCACGGCGCGTACTTGCCTACCTCCAAACCGCAGGTCAGCAGCGGGTGGTGTTGCGTGTTTTTCGAATATCTAGTAGACAAGGATTCCGGAGCTGAGATTGTGAGATCCGTATATGAGTGACTTTTCTTGATTTCTTGACATTTTAGTTCTGGAGACTTTTATGGATCCTTGTCATTTTAGATCTGGACTAGGGAGATATCGGTTCATACCTTTCTAAGCAGTCCTGGCGGTCGATCCGTGAAGTTCAGATGGAGCGTCTCTCACACATCGATCGACTTACAGACGATCTTCTGACGAGGATAATATGGTTTCAGAAAGGCGGCAAGCCTCCCCAAAAAGTTTCTGATTTTTCATGGGTCACGCTTCCTTCTTGGCATTTTCCGACGAAGAAGTTTACTTCTCCAGCTTTGGCAGATGCAGCTTTTAATCTGCTCATCTCGTCCGTATGCAGGCGCTGGCGCCGCCTGGTTAAGCGTCAAGTCACCAGCTTATTAGTTCATGAAAACCGTGTCATCTCTCGTGAAGACCTGGCGAACGCTGTGACTTGTTTCGACAACCTCACGAATCTTCACCTGAGTGACGGCAGTGTCGAGATGATTGACAACGCTTTCTTCGCTGGCCTTGCTTCCTCACGGCCTAAGCTGAAAGTTCTTCACGTGGGTCGCAGGATTACACCGACGGGGTGTGGAGGAAGCAAGGATGAGCACTCGGTTACTGAGGCCGGCTTGGATATTTTCTTCCTGAAGTGCACTCAGCTGGAGGAAATTTCGCTTCACTGCCTCCATAAAGATACTGAGTTGCCGAATTCTTTCTTTCAACTGCAGCATCTTCACACGGTTCTTCTAACTGACGTTTCAGCCTTGACACTTCCCAGATTTGCAGCGCTTCCGTCTCTCACTTCTCTTCATATTGCTGTTTCGAAACTGACACATCAGCAACTATCAAGCCTCGCTATCCCAAGACTCTCCATACTTTCGATTTCTAGTTTTATTCCACCATCTGCAACTTTTCCAGCTGCTCAGCTGCCTGATTTGAAGACACTCGAGTTCCTGTTCTTTAGTCCGAATTTCACTTCAGTTTTCTCTACAGGATCACCGTGCATCCGTCTAGAACAGCTGGTGATTACCGATTCCGCCGACCTACAGCGACTCCCTGATGATTTTGGAGAGCTGCTGCCGTGCCTCCGTGAGCTGATCATTCGGGGTTGTTCCGAGCTTGACCAACTCCCCGATAGTATCACTTGCCTGAGTGCATTGGAGCGCGTATCCATTTTCAGCTGCCGCCAGCTTCACAGCCTCCCCAACAACTTCGGAGAGCTTCCTGCTCTTAAGTCACTGATGCTGTATAACCTGCCTGGTTTAAACCCACCTGATTCCCTTCGCCAAGCTACTTCTCTGGAGACGCTGTCCTTGAATTACTGCGAGAAGATGAACCTGTCAGCAGAGCATTGCAGTCTAACATCTCTCAAGAAACTGAGCCTCATGCGCTACGGGAAGATGGTGCTTCCAGAGAGGATTGGATGCCTCACTAACCTCGAGACTCTTCAACTACATGGATGCATGCAAGAGCAGCCGCCTCCTTCACTCACGCAGCTGGTTTCTCTAACAAGTATTGAGCTTGCTTTTTGCTCAGTTGTCGAGCTTCCTGAAGGCCTGCAGAATATGAGTAACCTGCAGCATCTCCACATTCGAAACTGTCCTGCTCTTAACGAGATTCCAGAATCTGTTATAGGGCTGACAAGGCTCACAGCCTTGATCATTGAGCGGTGTGAACAGCTTGCTGTGCTGCCAAGAAGGCTGAGCAACCTTGGGGAGCTGAAGAGGTTGGAGGTAACTGGGTGCAGACGGCTATGTGAGTTTCCTGTGTTACTTCCACTCTCCCTTGAGGTCCTGATTTGGGACGCAACTCCCCAGCCTCGGATTTTCCTGCCGTCTCGTCTAACGCACTTGAATCTGAGGTTGGCAGACAACATTGACGAGTTTCCTTTTCCCTTGAGCCCAGTATCTCAGCTCCACGTCTTGAGTATCTGTCATGGTGAAAGGATTCGAACTCTTCCAGGAAGCATCGGTTCCGCATTGCAGCAGCTGCGGGGTTTGCAAATTTGTTACTTACATGAGCTTCGGGAGCTGCCAGAAACGGTTTCACAGCTCCAACACCTGACATCGCTGAAGGTCGTTGCACCCAAGCTGGCCTCGGTTCCTGACGGGATTGGTGCATTATCCAGGTTGCGCAATCTGGATCTGACAGACTGTAAGGCCCTGCATCAGCTACCATCATCGCTCACACAGCTTCGTTGCCTCTCTGTGCTGCGACTATGCAGTACTTCCATCAGCTCCCTTCCTCCGAGGTTTGGACAGCTGACCAGGTTGAGGACACTCAGCCTCTCTGGCTGTGAGCAATTGACAGCCTTGCCAGAGGATTTGACAGAGCTGAAGCTGCTGCAATACTTGAAATGTGAAGGGTGCACGCAAGCAATCAATGGCATGTCCCGTGCATTGCGCTGTGCCGTCCGAGACATGCATGGGCTGACCTTTGTTGAACATTAGCATGGAGTATACGGTAGCGTTTGTGGTGGTGGGATGTTTCATTTCTTCCACCGTATGTAGACATGTTTCCTTTTGTGTAGTGAAATTCTTTTCATATTCCCAGTTCTTGGGATACTAACTCTCTGTCCCTCTGTTCTGTCCTGTCCCTCTGCTTTTTTGAATGTACTGGTACAACCATTTTTCCATGCATGCAAAGTGTACGCATGACATGTGGCTTGCTGGGCAGTAAACACCATTCTAGATGTCAAAATCCAATGGTTGTAACAGGATTGCTGTCTTGGTATCGTAGGGACCATATGCTAGAACTTGAGAGCATGCATGCTGCCGGTCATGTATGCATTGACATGTGCTGATGGATATGCATGCATCGCCATGTGCCGAGGTTCATGTACGCATCACCATGTGCTGATAATGATCATTCATGCATTGCCATGTGCCGCTGATGCTAATGAATGTTTGGCCATGTAAGCGCTGCCATGTGGTAGACATTATGTATGCATTGCGATGTGCATCGTCCATGCATGTATCACAATGATCATGCATGCACGACGCTGCATGGTGCAGCAGCTATCAGGATGGGCCGGCTGCTGCTGGAACGGAAATGAGTCTTGTGAGGGGTAGGACTGAAAGCGACGGAAATAGAAGACAAAAGATAATACAGCTGGTTTATATTGTTCTTACCAGTAAGATATATATGATTGTTGCAGGAGTGCTATCAGCTCCTGCTGGCTGCTATACTATGCCATGTTGTGTCACCCCTCACCCAGCTGTCTAGGGATGCTGTGCGGGTGGGTGCTCAGTACAGCTCAGAGGGTAAGCAAGGTTATTTAGTTTCTGCACCTTCTGCTTCCTGCCTGCTCTGCCCTGCTCTGCCATGTTGTGTCACCCCTCACCCACCTGTCCAGGGTTGCTGTGCGGGTGGGTGCTCAGCACAGCTCAGAGGGTAAGCAAGGTATTTAAGTCTCTGCAACTCCTGCTTCCTGCCTGCTCTGCCCTTCTCTGCCATGTTGTGTCATCCCTCACCCACTTGTCCAAGGCCGCTGTGTGAGTGAGTGCTCAGCACTGCTCAGTATGTAAGCATGGTTTGTTATTTCCTGCACCTCTTGCTTCCTGCCTGCTCTGCCCTGCTCTTCTTTGCTCTGCCATGTTGTGTCACCCCTCACCCACCTGTCCAGGGATGCTGTGTGAGTGAGTGCTCAGCACTGCTCAGTATGTATGCATGTTTTGTTAGTTCCTGCACCTCCTGTTTCCTGCCTGCTCTGCTCTGCACTGCCATGTTGTGTCACCCCTCACCCACTTGTCCAAGGCCGCTGTGTGAGTGAGTGCTCAGCACTGCTCAGTATGTAAGCATGATTTGCGAGTTCCTGCACCTCCTGTTTCCTGCCTGCTCAGCCCTGCTCTGCTATGCTCTGCCATGTTGTGTCACCCCTCACCCACCAGTCTAAGGAGGCCGTGCAGGTGAGTTCTCAGCATAGCTTTGTGGGTAAGCAAGGCTTACTTGCTCTGCTATGCTCTGCTATAGATGTGGATGGATGAGATGGGATGCATGAGATGGGGATGAGATGGGGATGAGATGGGGATGAGATGGGGATGAGATGGGGATGAGATGGGGATGAGATGGGGATGAGAAGGGGATGCGATGGTGATGAGATGGGGATGAGATGGGGATGAGATGGAGATGATGTCAACGGGAGTTGTATGTTGGCCCCGTCCTCGCTTGGGCGGAGCCGACTTCGTGGTCGGGTGTAGGGTGCAGCCGACCTGCAGCAGTGGGCGAGTTGGTCGACGAGGTTGGTCGACCTGCACGGGGAGCCACTGCATGGGCGCCGACGTCGGGAGGGCGCCAACTTCGGCTGGTCGACCTGGGACGTCGACCAGCCCTTCTGGTCGACCTGGGACGTCGACTTGCAGCTGGTCAACCAGGGGATAGTGGTCGACCTGGGGAGGTCGACTGGAGGTGGCCGTCGACTTGGGAGGTCGACCGGCACGTACCAGAGGCAGTGGTCGACCTGGGAGGTCGACCGGAAGTGGTCGTCGACCTGGGTGGTCGACGGGCACGCACTGGAGCCTCTGGTCGACCTGGTTGCCCGGTCGACCAGGTTACCTGGGTGACGAGGTGCTGCGAAGGCTTGCGAAGGTCGCCCAGGTGGTTTTGGCGAGGACGACCTCGGTGATGGTATCCCGAGGTCGACGTGGTGCATCAGATACAGTCGTCAGCACGAGGTGGACTTAGTGTGTGTGCTGTGCAGGTGACGAAGCAGTGCGCGCCAATCACCTACGAGCACCTGCGAAGCTGGTGCGATGCTGGACTGCAGGAGCAACGCTGGCACGCCGTCGACTTGCGCTGTTGTCACGCCGTCGACCTGCAGCGTTGGCAAGCCGCGTCTCTGCACTGCTGGAGCGCGGTCGACCAAGTCGTGCTGGCACGCGGTCGACCGTGCTGCGCTGGCAGTCGACTCGCTTGCATCCTAGCTCTGATGTAGTCTTTCCTAGCCAACTTCATTGTATCATTGTTGTCAACTTTCTCTAGTGAAACTCTTGCCAAAATTGCCTTGTGAACTAGCAAGCAGTGTGTGCACTAGGAAAATGACTAAGGACCGAGGAACGCAGAGATCACACGAGCACTCGTGCCTAGCCCGCAGCCTAGCTCCCGTTGTAGTAGTTATCTCCGCATGGTGCGGTGAGCGTGGACGGCACTACGACTTACCTTTCAGTCTAGTCGACTTGGTAGGCACCTTACCTAAGTGGTTCGTAGGCCGGCAGCTGTGCGATTGTCACTATGGTAGTGGCCGTAGGTGACACGGGGGTGGTGGACACCCTGGAGGCACGGCTGGAGAACGCGAGGAGGAAGCACGAGGCCAACGAGTATGGCGACCTGCCGTGGGCGGTCGTCGAGGCTGGCATCCGTTCCTTGTGGGCGACGGAGCACCCTTCTCGGCCTGCTTCTCCTCGACCGGTGAACACCGAGGGCGACGTCGACGCGGGTGTCAACGCCGGAGGCGACCAAGTCGGCAGCAGTGCGGGAGGCACGTCGTCGAGGCTGCGTGGTGTGATTCACGCCGACGAAGTCGGCGGCGTTCAGACGCGAGGAATGCGGTCGTCGGCGGCTGCAGGGTTCTCGCAGGGCGACGTCGGAGGTCGACGGAGTGGGTCCGTGCCGATGTCGGCAACCCAGGTGACAGCAGGCGGGATTGCACCGAGCTACGGCTACTTCAAGTTTACGCCGGATAGGATCTCGGTGACTCCCCTACTGGTCGGCCGACCCGACATTCTCACCTGGAAGGAAGCTATTGAGCCCCAGCTGGAGATGGCCGGGCTCATCAACTTTGCTCGTGGTACCGTGGCGACGCCGAGCGACCCCGACTTGCGTGCGGAGTTTCGCGCCGTGCAGCTGCTGACCTTCACGGTCATCTCGCGGTGCTGCACGCCGGGCGTGCAGATCGCCCTGAAGTGGTGCAGGGAGTACCTCGACGCCGGCCACCAGGCGTGGCACTTCATTGAGTCGACGTACCAGGTCACCGACGACCTGTTTATCGCCCAGCTTGAAGGGCAGCTGACGCACCTGCGCATGGGCGACGAGGAGACGGCGACCGACTACTGCAACCGGGCCCGGCGAATTCTCGCCACCATCAGGATGGCCGGTGCGGAGTATTCGACGGCGTCGTACATCACCCATGTCATGCAGGGACTCCGGAGCAGCTACAACCTGTTGAAGCGGCTGTCCATGGCGCCGAGCACGAGGGCGACGCTCAACGAGGACAACCTAACCTCGTATATCCTGCAAGACGAGGCGATGCAGGAGGCTGAGCGGTCCCAGGAGCTCTTGGCGCAGGCAAACTTTGTTGCCCCGGCGAAGCAAGGCGGTCGACCGGGGCAGCGTGGACAGTCTGGCGGCAGTGGTAGCGGTGGCTCGAAGTCGGCCAAGGAGGTCGACAAGAAGAAGTCGACCAAGGACAGTGGCCGGGGAGGAGACAGTCGACGTCGGGAGTGCTGGCTGTGCGGCGACCCCGACCACCTCTCCTTCGAGTGCCCCGACCGCAGTGACTCGGACGACGACGACAAGGGAGGCCGCGGGAGGTCTGGCAGTCGTCGATCTCGTCGAGGAGGAAGTCAGCCGCGCAAGGAGAAGCAGTCGACCAAGTCGTCGACCTCGGCGAAGGACGCCGACTCCTCTGCTAGCGGCAAGGGGAGCGGCGACAAGTCGGCGTCGTGCTCCCTGGTCGGCGTTGTGGAGCCGACCGTCTCACTGGCGCCGGAGGCCGGTGAGGACTTTCAGGCGATGGCAGCAGCAGTGCAGGCGAACCCGGCGGTGGTCCTACTGGACAGCGGCTGCTCCCACCACCTGATGGGGACCAAGGACGTCTTCGTCGACATGGGGCCGAGCGGCGACTTGAAGCACGTGCGTGGCTTCAATGGGGCGCTGCAAGACGTCCAGGGCCGGGGCACGGTTGCGTTGCAAGGCGAGGCCGGGAAGCAGGTTCTCATCCCCGACGTGCTGTACGTCCCGGGTGTGCGGGCAAACCTGCTGTCGTCTGGCCAGCTGAAGGAGCATGGCGTGAAGTTTCAAGAGGACGGCGACGGGATGCTGCTTGTCTCGGCAGCAGGAGAAGTGCTTGGTCGGGCGACGTACTCCGGGCGAGTCCTCTGCACCGACCTGCGTCCCTGCTCACCGAGGTCGACGTCGCCCACGCCGGAGGTTGTGGCCCTGCGGGCGATCGTCTCCAAGGCGAAGTCGACGCCGGACAGGATGCACGCACGCCTTGCGCACGTCGGCCTGGATACCATCAGGAGCTCGGCGAAGAACGAGGTCGCCATTGGGCTGGACCTCAAGTCGGCGACGGGTACCGACTCACCGTGTGTCTCGTGCGTCGGTGGGAAGCTGGCGAGGCACACCTTCCCCGACCAAGGCTCCGACGCCGACGACGTGCTAGCCGTCGTCCACATCGACTTGTGCGGGCCATTCCGGGTGGCTGCCAAGGACGGCAGCCTGTACTTCTTGC